AGATAGGTGCTTAAGACATAGGTAAAGAGAATGATAAAGGCGAGAGAAATAGACAGAAAGATAAGATAGATTAATAGAAAGATATGCGAATGATAGATAAAGAGAAAGATAAGGGCGTGACCAATGGATAAAGAGAAGGATAAGGGCGTGAGAGATAAAGAGTAATATGCGTGTGTGAGAAAAAAAAGAAAGATTAGTGAGAGAAAGAGAAAGATATGTGCGTGAGTGATCGATAAAGAAAAGATAAAGGCGTGAGTGATAACGAGAAAGATATGTGCGTGAGAAATAAATAAAGAGAAAATAAGGGAATGAGAGATAGATAAAGAGAAAGATGACGGCGTGAGAGATAAAGAGAAAGATATGTGCGTGAGAGATAGATAAAGAGAAAAATATGGGAATGAGAGATAGATAAAGAGAAAGACGAGGGCGTGAGAGATAGATTAAGAGAAAGATAAGGGCGTGAGGGATAAAGAGAAAGATATGTGCGTGAGAGAGAGTAGATAAAAAGGGAAAATATGGGAATGAGAGATAGATAAAGAGAAAGACGAGGGCGTGAGAGATAGATAAAGAGAAAGATAAGGGCGTGAGAGATAAAGAGAAAGATATGTTCGTGAGAGATAGATAAAGGGAAAATATGGGAATGAGAGATAGATAAAGAGAAAGATGAGGGCGTGAGAGATAGATAAAGAGAAAAATAAGGGCGTGAGGGATAAAGAGAAAGATATGTGCGTGAGAGATAGATAAAGGGAAAATATGGGAGTGAGAGATAGATAAAGAGAAAGATAAGGGCGTGAGAGATAGATAAAGAGAAAAATAAGGGCGTGAGAGATAAAGAGAAAGATATGTGCGTGAGAGATAGATAAAGAGAAAAATAAGGGAATGAGAGTTAGATAACGAGAAAGATGAGGGCGTAAGAGATAGATAAAGAAAAATATAAGGGCGTGAGAGATAAAGAGAAAGATATGAGCGTGAAAGATAGATAAAGAGAAAATAAGGGAATGAGAGATAGATAAAGAAAAATATAAGGGCGTGAGAGATAGATAAAGAGAAAAATAAGGGCGTCAGAGATAGATAAAGAGAAAGATAAGGGCGTGAGAGATAAAGAGAAAGATATGTGCGTGAGAGATAGATAAAGAGAAAGATAAAGGCGTGAGCGATAGATAAAGAGAAATATAAGGGCGTGAGAGATAAAGAGAAAGATATTTGCGTGAGAGATAGATAAAGAGAATGATATGTGCGTGAGAGATAGATAAAGAGAAAGATAAGGGCGTGAGAGATAAAGAGAAATATATGTGCGTGAGAGATAGATAAAGAGAAAGATATGTGCGTGAGAGATAGATAAAGAGAAAGATAAAGGCGTGAGCGATAGATTAAGAACTTATGGGATGACCTGATAGATAAAGAGAAAGTGAGAGATAGATAACGAGAAAGGTAAGTCAGTGACAGCGATAAAGAGAAAATGTTTTAGAGATAGATAAATAGAAAGATAAGTGTGTGAGAGAAAAAGAGAAAGATAAGTTTATGAGAGAGACAGACAGACAGACAGATAAAGAGAATGATAAGTGGGTGGGAGATTGATTAGTAGAGAGATAGATAAAGAGAAAGATATGGTCGTGAGAGATAGATAAAGAGAAAGATAATAGCGTGAGAGATGGATAAACAGGGAGAGATAAATGCGTGAGAGATAAAGCCAATTATAGGTGTGTCAAAGATAGATAAAGAGACAGATAAGTGTGTGTGATATAGATAAAGAGAAAGATAGGTGCTTAAGACATAGGTAAAGAGAATGATAAAGGCGAGAGAAATAGACAGAAAGATAAGATAGATTAATAGAAAGATATGCGAATGATAGATAAAGAGAAAGATAAGGGCGTGACCAATGGATAAAGAGAAGGATAAGGGCGTGAGAGATAAAGAGTAATATGCGTGTGTGAGAAAAAAAAGAAAGATTAGTGAGAGAAAGAGAAAGATATGTGCGTGAGTGATCGATAAAGAAAAGATAAAGGCGTGAGTGATAACGAGAAAGATATGTGCGTGAGAAATAAATAAAGAGAAAATAAGGGAATGAGAGATAGATAAAGAGAAAGATGACGGCGTGAGAGATAAAGAGAAAGATAAGTGCGTGAGAGATAGATAAAGAGAAAAATAAGGTAATGAGAGTTAGATAACGAGAAAGATGAGGGCGTGAAAGATAGATAAAGAAAAATATAAGGGCGTGAGGGATAAAGAGAAAGATATGTGCGTGAGAGATAGATAAAGGGAAAATATGGGAATGAGAGATAGATAAAGAGAAAGACGAGGGCGTGAGAGATAGATTAAGAGAAAGATAAGGGCGTGAGGGATAAAGAGAAAGATATGTGCGTGAGAGATAGATAAAGGGAAAATATGGGAATGAGAGATAGATAAAGAGAAAGACGAGGGCGTGAGAGATAGATAAAGAGAAAGATAAGGGCGTGAGAGATAAAGAGAAAGATATGTTCGTGAGAGATAGATAAAGGGAAAATATGGGAATGAGAGATAGATAAAGAGAAAGATGAGGGCGTGAGAGATAGATAAAGAGAAAAATAAGGGCGTGAGGGATAAAGAGAAAGATATGTGCGTGAGAGATAGATAAAGGGAAAATATGGGAGTGAGAGATAGATAAAGAGAAAGATAAGGGCGTGAGAGATAGATAAAGAGAAAATAAGGGCGTGAGAGATAAAGAGAAAGATATGTGCGTGAGAGATAGATAAAGAGAAAAAAAAGGAATGAGAGTTAGATAACGAGAAAGATGAGGGCGTAAGAGATAGATAAAAAGAAAAATATAAGGGCGTGAGAGATAAAGAGAAAGATATGAGCGTGAAAGATAGATAAAGAGAAAATAAGGGAATGAGAGATAGATAAAGAAAAATATAAGGGCGTGAGAGATAGATAAAGAGAAAAATAAGGGCGTCAGAGATAGATAAAGAGAAAGATAAGGGCGTGAGAGATAAAGAGAAAGATATGTGCGTGAGAGATAGATAAAGAGAAAGATAAAGGCGTGAGCGATAGATAAAGAGAAATATAAGGGCGTGAGAGATAAAGAGAAAGATATTTGCGTGAGAGATAGATAAAGAGAAAGATATGTGCGTGAGAGATAGATAAAGAGAAAGATAAGGGCGTGAGAGATAAAGAGAAAGATATGTGCGTGAGAGATAGATAAAGAGAAAGATATGTGCGTGAGAGATAGATAAAGAGAAAGATAAAGGCGTGAGCGATAGATAAAGAGAAATATAAGGGCGTGAACAATAAAGAGAAAGATAAGGGCGTGAGATAAATAAAGAGAATTTTATTTTGTGAGAGATACATAAAGATAAAGATAACTGTATGAAAGATAACAGCATAGATATGTGTTGAATGATAGACAAAAAGAAAGATAAGGGCGTGAGAGATGAAGAGAAAGATATGTGCGTGAGAGATAGACAAAGATAAAAATAAGGGCGTGAGACATAGATAAAGAGAAAAATAAGGGAACGAGAGATAGATAAAGAGAAAGATAAGTCTGTGAGGTGAGGAAAGATGTGTTTAATGATAGATATAGATACAGTTATGCGAAGGAGCGAGGAAGTGAGAGGTTGATATGAATGTGCGGGAAAGAGAAAGGTGTGATGACGGAAAAATATAGATAAAGATATGCCTGTCCGAAGTGAGAGAAAGAAGAAGATATGTGCTTGAATGAAAGAGAATAATGTGTGTTTGAAGGAGAAATAAAGAAAAAAACTTATATGAAGGAAGGAGAGAATGAGAGAGAATGCATGTGCGAATTTTGAACTTTTTTCGTAATTTCTCCGAATCCACCCCAAAAAGGTCTATTGATGTGGTGAGTTCCATACTCACATGGTTTTTATATTGAATAAAATTAGAAAAGTCATGAACTTTATTTTCCCTATTCTTTGAAAATTTTAACCTTAATGTTGAACAAATCGCAATTATGACTCGAAAAGACGTGACTTCAATTTGAATACAATAATATTTTTAATGTCATACAACTTCAGAGCATACGCGATAATGGTTCTCTACGATTTTCTTTTTATGCATGAATTGCCAAGTCTTCTAAGAAATGCTGATTTCTGAATTCAGAGACGTCCTTCTCTGACGCTAACAGCAACTCAATAAGATTCCATTGTTTACAATGATTCGTTTTTTTTTTACGGCTAACTAAACCTTTGCAGGTTATTTAAAGCCAGAATTTTTTTTATATATATTTTAAGGTTTAGTAATACAATTCCTACTAATTAATCCATAGCTGAAGAGGAGAACAGGTGAATTCATATCTTTCCACAGGGTATTTACGCGTAAGTGAATATAACGAACCCAACCAGAATTCGAACTCGGCTCTCCGATTAACAAATTCCGAGCTATTATTATCCATTACACCTGCCGCACATCCAAGCTTACAGCAGTTAATATTCCCAAGCGGTCACCCATCTAGGATTTGTTCGGTTTGTTTTGTTTTGCAGCATATAGGTTATTTAATACCGACAAAATTTTTATTGCTGGTAATAATTTTTCTTCAAAAATTCATTGCTAGTAATAATATTTTTACAAAGTATTTCTGGGATTAAAATCCATTTTGACACTTTCATAGTGCTTTGACCCCAGTTTGGGTGTTAACTATTTGCTCCTAACTGGGACCCTAACAGGTGTTACCACCCCGATTCAGGGTGGACCTGGGAACACCAGCAATTACGCGGTGGTTCCACTTTCCTCAAAACCTCCTGATTGGAGGTTTTGCTGTTAGATGGAGTTTATCGTCTTACCCAGGACGCGGATGTAGTTTATCGTCACACAGGTAAGTTATTTATTAAAATCATTTACAAACTCATCCCTCCATGAAGAACTCTCCACAAAAAATATTCATATCTTTCTCAAGCATATTTGTGCGTAACTGAATATAATGAACCCAACTGGAATTGGAACTCGGCCTTCCGATTAACAAATGCCGAGCTGTTATTATCCATTACACCTAGCGCACTCCCAAGCTTACAGCAGCTAATATTCCCAAGCGGTCACCCATCTAGATAGGGCCCAGTCTCGTCGTTGGTTAACTTTGGTGATCATACGGGAACTGCTGTTTCAAAGCTGTATGGCCGTAATCCTCTGGAGATTTTAGTCTACCATAATATTTAATACATATTTGGGAGAAGAAATTCACGCTTTCCCCACTAGTACAGAATTTGAAACCGGCTCGCCGATTTTCACTTTTGAATAACATTGACGCTATACGCACCTTCTTGTTAAATATGAAAAATAAGTTTCATCTGAATTAAAATAATGGTGGCCCACCAAGACAGAAAACTGATTTATCGACCCTGTCTTTACGTTGCCTTCCACGGTACTTCGCCTCGTTTTGGTTTTATTATCGATTTTACTTTTATAAACAGAAAATAAACAAAGGTGACTCTTTGATATTTTTTTTGTCCTCTAAAAATGAAGTGCTAAAAACGAAAGATTTTCATGTCGATTATTGATATTAGCGTGTTTAGAAAGTAATGACGTATTTCATGGCCATGAATTATCAGTCAACCAAGAAAAGTAGAACCAGAGCTTAATGGTAGGAGACTGCGTCTAGAATTACTCTATCATCTATTCCAGTCATGATCAAACTGCGACCAGTTCGGTCTTTCTGAATGACCCGCTTAATTTGTTAAAATATTGACTTGTTTCGTTTTCACTTGTTCACTCGCACATTCTCTCGTACATAAGCACGTATATAAGCAAAACTTTAAATACAATGCTTCTTGAATGTTGTAAACTTTCGAGGAAAGAAGAATATGTGATGTTATTAATCCTGACCTGGAATCTCGGCTTCAGTACCATTCCCACCGCCGTAACGTAGCTTCCCTGCACTTGTTTTATAAATATTTTTATGGTAATTGTTCTCATGGACTCTCCTCTATGGTACCTAGATTTATGAATTTAAGCGGGGTACTCAACTGCAGGAAATAGACTCGCTGTTCCGAGCAGGCAAGCTTTTTGTCGTAATCTATTCCCAAATCAAAATCCAATATCTCAAACATTTTTCTTACAACACCCCAGTGCTCCTGTGATCACTGGTAACATAATTACTTTCTTTGCTAGTCATTTCCAAACATTCAGGTTGACAACTTCTCCTTTCCTTTGTGTTCAAATCGCATGTCAAATGGACAGGCCTCAAGAGATGTCTTTGTTGTTTTAGTATTTTATTATTAGTAGTAGTATTAGAAATGTTTTGTTGCTCTTGTTATATTAAACCCAAAATTTAAAAAAAGTGAGACACTCCTGCGTAAGCGTCTTTCTGGATAAATTTTCTGTGAAATTTAACTATCTATCTATCTATCTATCTATCTATCTATCTATATATATATATATATATATATATATATATATATATATATATATATATATATATATTGTCTGCGGTTATTGCTGTATAGTTAGATATTCTTTGATAATATCCAAAGAAGAATCTGCTATGTCATTGGTCCTGACCTGGAATCCTAGCTTTAGTAATTTTCCACCTGCCATAATGTAGCTTACCTGCGCTTATTTTATAAATATTTTCATGGTAATTGTTCGGATAATTTCTCCTCTATGGAATCTAGACTCTATGAATTTAATGACATCATTGGGTTGGTGGAAATGTCTCATCATTTTACAGTCGAAATGACTTGATGCAACAGTAAGTTCTATGCTAGCCGTTTCTTTTTTTGTATTTAAATTCTTCTCTTTTATTGTTCTCGCTCTTTAATAACGTTCTTATATTCTTTCTCATTCAGTAACACCCTTTATTGCCTTGCTGGTGGTAAAATGATTACAAGTATATATATATATATATATATATATATATGTAGTCATCCATATACAAGCCTGTTTCTCGATGACAGAGAAAGAGAAATTTTAGCGTATTATATACGAGATGTGTAGAAACACCAGTAGCCAAGAGGGCTCAATTCATAATTGAAGAGCGATGCGTTAATAGTAGAAGCCGATACTGTTTTTATTTAAAAAAAGAGAGACTCTCTTGTGTAAGCCGCTTTCTGGTATATTGATAAAATCCAAAGAAGAATCTGCAATGTCATTGGTACTGACCTGCAATCCCAGCTTCAGGAACTTTCTAACTGCCATAATGTAGCTCTCCTGCGCTTATTTTATAAATATTTTCATGGTAATTGTTCTGTTGATCTCTCCTCTATGGCAATTACCTAGTCCCGCATTAATTACGTTCAGTTAACTGATGTTTCTGCCATGATTCAGGATTATGTTTTTTTTTTATGATTAACATTATTTTGCTTAGTTTCTTGTATATACAACTGTAATCATTGTAAATATTCATTGGGCTTCAATTTTAAAAGTTGTACATATGGAACTAGTCATAGAGACTTGAGGTATTGTGGTGGCTGTAGTAAGATTCGTAAGCACGAATGTGTTGTTTTGGTGTAAGGAATAATTCTCTACGTTTGGGTCAGTAATCGTGTCTAGATAAGTTTAAGATTGAAGAGCGGCCTTCCCCTATCCATATTTTTATATTTTCAAAATAAATATTACTCTCCTTTATGATACCTAGTCTATGAATTTAAGCGGGGTAGCAATACGCAGATGGCACAGTACTGATAGCAGACACGGAAAAGAAATCACAAAATCTCCTACAGAAGGTACTGACGGAGAGTGAGAAGAAAGGACTAAGCATAAGCTACAAGAAGGCAGAGTGCATGGTCTTCAGTAAGAGGAGGAGCCCGAAATGCGATTTGAAGGTCGAGAACACTAGAATCAAGCAAACGCGGAAGTTTAAATATTTGGGAAGCGTTCTGACAGAGTGGGTGCGACACTGAGGTCCGTAGGCGTGTTGGGATGGCGAAGGACACATTCCAAAAGCTGGGCAGAGTACTGCGAGACAAGAGGATTTCTTTGGTAACAAAAAAATAAAGAATACTGAACTGTTACGTGACATCTGTCCTTCTTTACGGCAGCGAATGTTGGACGATTTCCTTAAAGATGAAGAAGAGACTCGAGGCGACGGAGATGTGTTTCTACAGAAGGATGCTAAGGATATCACGGACCGAGCGTGTGAGCAACGATGAGGTCTTAGAGATGTTGTAAACTGCAAACAAGGAGGAGGCTTATACTTAATATCAGGAAGAGGCAGCTGAAGTTTTTGTGACACATAAGGAGGGCCTGGAGAATCTGATATTCACGGGTCGAATAGAGGGGAAGAAAAACAAGGGAAAACAACGCGTGACATACCTCGCGGGCTTAAACAAGTGGTTGGCAGAACGTGGTCTGCGGGAGGAAGCAGAGGGAAGGAACTTGTTGAGAGCTGCAAGGGATAGAGGGAGGTGGAGAGCCATGATCGCCGACGTCCTGAAAGGACATGGCACATAAAAAGAAAGACTAGATTGTCGGCAAGATCATTTTACAGTTGAATTGGCTAGAGGTAACCGTTCTACGCTAATAGTCCCTTTTCTCGCACTATTCGCTTGTGGAACTCGCTTCCAGCTTCTTGCTTTCTAATCAGTTTTGATCTTTAAACATTTAATCGTTATTTTCCGTCTTCTTAATTGCTGTTCTTTCTTTTGTTTACTGCTCCTATATAACAGTTTTTTTTTTCTTATATTCTCTCACGCCCAGTAAACACACAGCGTGTTAGTGGCTTTTGGCCTTGCTTGGAGTGAAAAGATTATTAAAATAAATAAATAAATAAAAATAACGTTTTCGTCATTTTAAACCATTGATGATTTTCACTATGGAAGATCAAACGTGTAAACATCTTTTATTTTTAAAACAAGAAACATTCATACTAATTTTTTCTCTAAAGAAGACATATATGTTGTTTTTTTTGTTTCAAATGAATAAATTAGAAATAAATCACACTATCATCAGTGATAATACAGAGTGTTTGGAATATTACTGTACACTTTTCTAATAATATTTGTCTTATATTTCAGATTTCCCCCCCCCCCAATATGGTCTTAACATTGTTCATAATTTTCATTCATATTCTCCTCCTGTATTCTATATTGAAACATGTCTATTAATAAAAATGTAAGTGCATAGTGACTTTTCTTGCAGTATAAAATGTCAAAAATTAATATCATATTCAATGAACGATGTCAAACGTTGTGGAAGGCCAGCAAAGCTGCCGGAAGAGAAATTATTGGATACTTCTGACAGTTTTTGCAGCAGAGACCAAGAAAATCATTACGAAAGTTAGTGCATCAGCCAAATATTCGTCCTTCACATATTCGGGAATCCAGCAAAAATTAAAACTCTGACAATGAAAAGTACAAAAACTGAAAGCAAGTGATCATGAAAAAACGACTGTATTGATACTAACGGGTGTCACTTTCAAAATTGTTCATAATTGTTTGTTGTGGTAGGATCCACCTAATTTGCATAGTGGAGTACCGACCATATAAATATGGTTGGTACCGGGAAGAGAGGAGGAATCAAGAGATTAAATCTCAGTCGAACTCTCTGCATTTTGCAGTGAGGGACCCGGACGAGGCTTTGCCGAGAGGCAGGGTTTCGTCCGGAGTGGTAGACAGGCCTTGAACCCGTCTAGGCGGGTTCAGAAAGGCCATATTTTGGCCGAGCCTACGGGCTCGGAGATACCCACTTTAAACCGGCCTTGTGCCACATTTTATCCTCGTGGGTGGATAGATAAATACAGGAATCAAGAGATTCAACCAGAGACTCTGCCCGACTGCGACTCAGTCAACACATTCTCCAGGAACGGTCTTACCAGGAATATACAAAAGACTATATGTAAATATTATGTACACTTGCTTGTTTCAATACATTTTGTTCTAAGTACGTTTTGTGTTGCATTATTATTCCATGCATTAGTCAAGTTTCAACATTTTCATTCATATTCTTTTCCTTTATTCTATAATGAAATATGTCTATTAATAAAAATGTAACTGCATAGTGACTTCCCTAACACCTTGTAGTATAAAATGTCAAAAACTGATATCACAATCGGTGAACGATGCCAAACGTTGTGGAAGGCCATCAAAGCTGTCAGAGGAGAAACTGTTGGATATTTCTGACAGTTTTTGCAGCAGAGACCAAGAAAATCATTACAAAAGTTAGTGCATCAGCAAAATAAGACTCTGC